TGGCCCCTCAACCCACTCCCCAAGGTCTCCCTGGGGGTATTCAGAATCCTTGTTTTCTGCAGAGCTCGAGGTTAGATGTGACTATGCTGCTAGGAGGGGCTGATTCTTCAGAAGAAAAATAGCTGTTTAGGGTTGGAGGGATTGGATTGTCACAGAGCTGGATTCCTGGTCGTCTCTCCCTTCTTTGCTTCCCAGCCTCCACAAAATCACCTCCACCTGCATAGCAGCCTCGGAGAGTTTTTGTAATTGAAAGATCCTATGTACTGGGATTAGCGAGTAAAAGCTAGGAAAATATAAAGACAGAGCAACCACGCTGCAGGGCTTCTGAGGACATGGTGGCTAAATGAGCCGGTGTTAGACTGGGCTTGAAAATTAATTCTACCACGGACTAGCTGTGTGATCCTAAGCAAGTTATTTGAGAACTCTGAATTGCTTCCCCAACTGGAGAATTGGGGATGGTACCTGCTCTTGAGTGCTGTTTGTGGAGGATGAAATGACAAATAATGTAGTGGAAACACTTTAGCACAGTGTCTGCACATAATAAGTACTCGATAAATTTTAGCCTTTATTTTTAATGACTATGATACTCTAGTCTATAAATAGAAACATTTTACATTTCATTTATGCCTGTGTCATCAACTCCACATGACAAGTCATCTAATCATAAACGGAACCTTTATTCTAGTTTATACAAGCGACATTAACCATGCTACTCGTCCTCACCCAGCTGTAAAAAGTACTCCTATGAAAATTTAATATTTAATAATAATGTCAAAGGAAACAGTTCTCCACCACAAACACCACCACTTCCACTCCCCCCTCCCCAACCAGCACATCTTTTAAGTTTTCATAGGCAGCGCCAGTGCCAAGCAAACATCACTAGTAAACCCACGTCCCTGTGCACTGCTGGGCCAACAACAGCATTACATCTGAGGTGCTTTTTAACAAATTGGAAAGTGATTTCACAGGTGATTTCCCATTTGAACTCACAGCAACCCCATGATGTGGGCAGGGTAGATGGGAATAGCCCTGTTTTACAAACAAGGAAGCAAACTCAGAGGATAAATGCCAAAGCCACAATATTCAATTTTCTATGAAAAGGTAATATGTGTGAATTCAGATGTCAGGATTTTTGAACTTTAGAAAATTAGATTTTCTCAAGAATGAAGCCTGTTTTGAAGATAGCCAAAGTGACCAGTGCTTAGAGAGAGAAGTGTGATAATTGGTGAAAAGCAAATAAAATAGTCAAGAAGTATATAGGTCTTTATCTTCCAATTTCATAATCATTTGCCCAGTGTGCCCCAATTTTTCCACCCATAAGTTTGAAAACCAAAAATACCACTTCTTATGTCTCCTACATTATTCTGTGCAAATGGAAGCTTGATGAAATGATATTCAAGAGATTTTATGCTAATCACAGAATATATGAGCACAAAAATATATGGACAGAAGACAACACATTTTAAGTGCTAGTAAAGAATCTTGGTGATAAAGAAAGGAAGAAGAATATTTTCTAAGGATACATGGGCTAAAGATGATGAAAATTAAATAAAAGTAGATAAATCAGCATTATAACTTTACATTATATATTTGAGTGGTTTTGGAAAGTTGCAGAATCAAACTAAGAGTCATGAACATGTAATAGCATTTTTAAAGCCAGGGAAAGATAAATGTCCTCTAATTAAGATAATGTTTTTTTAGCTCATCATATATACCAGCTCTTAAAATAATCAATTCTGAAGTAGTGCTATCAATACTTCCAAGGACACCAACATATGCTCACTGACAGCTCATAACCTTAAAAATCCCTAGCAGACTATAGAATTGTAATTCAGAAGTCCCTTTACCCCCTTTCTCTGAAATGGGGGATAAGTTCTTATTGATTGGAAGACAAAAGCAAATAAAGGTCAATAGGTGAAATCTTAATTGCAAATACAAACCAAACACAAACTTCTAGTTTATCATTTGAACCTGGAAGCCCAAGGACCTCTAATTTTGCAGTAAAAAAAACCTAGTCATGCCAACACCAATAAGCAAAATAGCAGACAATAATAGGTCATCATTAGGTGGTCGGCCACCTGATGCTGACTTCATGGGCCTAAACATAATTTGCCCCCTGATTCTTCATAGAACATGAAAGAACTTCATTATAATATTGGGAGGGATTCTATATGAGAACAGAAGGGCTCTGTGCAAAACTTCCTCATTTTCTTCTTAACAGATTCATTTAATAAGCATATTTTTAATGTTTTCTACTTATTGGGAGTGATATCAATCTCACAGAGAAGATAGGCAAATCAAGCATCAGATTTATGTGTTAAATTCTAGAGTGAAGGAAAATATTTGCTGCAATGAGAAGTGGGTCAGGAAGCTCTCAGAGAGAAGAGATGTTCTAATGAAGTCTCAAATGGTAAGTGTATTGTTTATGTGGAAAAAGGAGGAGCAGTTTCCTGTCAGAAAGAGCAGCATGGGTAAAAGCAGGGATAATCCAAAAACAAGGTGAGTTCCAGAAATCAGAAGTGGCTCTGCATGGACAGAAGGGGAAAGATGCCAATAGAGGCAATAAGCAGTAGAGGAAGACAAAGGTTCCATCATTTAGAACTTTCTAGTCTGTGTTAAAATACAACATTGGAAATCTGAATACAGTTATTGGCCTACTGAAAATATTTCATCCTACAGGGAATGAGAATAGATTTTTACTCTAGAACAACCTGTTTGATGCTATCTAAGCATGCAGTGAACTAGAGGTAGAAATTATGGAGGCAGAAATGGCACGTAAAAGACAATTTTAGAAACCCAAGAAAGACATGGAGAGGCCCTAAACTAAAGCAATGGGGATGGAAAAGAGAGTAGAGATAATAGAAATCCAAAAAGCAAGTCTGAACAGGTGGGAACAAGGGGAAGAGGGAAGCTTAGAGCAGCTTCCATGGTATTTACTTGGCTGGCTGAATGGAGAATGGTGCCTTAGCAGGGACTGGATGAGGAGAAAGCCAGTAGTATTCCTAGAGTCATGTTTATACCTCTTTTATAAGATTAATCACATTTCACTTTGTATTGCAGTAGATAAGTGTCATTCCACCACCCTCTTCCCCACTAGACCCATAAAGTTCTGTGCCACACACCACAATAGCATGTTTGTATAACATGCTTATTTAGCATAATTGACTCACTGTAGACACTTAATGTTTTTGAACGTTTGAGTGAATAAGTGAACCACTCCAAAAGTTAGATGTGACAAAAACATACGTTTTATTCTTTCAATCACATAGTTGTTTCCTAAAATGCCAATAACTCACCTCAGCTGGATAATAACTCATACCACTTACCAATTAGGTTCATTTGAGACTTATAATACCCTGTGCAAACCCTAATGTCTGAACTGGAAGAGACTTTTAGGAGTATCTACTACTAACCCCCATTTTAAAAACATCTGTAATTCAAAGAAGTTATATGGCTAGTCCAAAGTCACAAAAGATTTCTGGCCATGGGACAGAAATCAGGCAGAATACGTCAAGCTTTAATATTTGTCAACCAAAATGGTTGTGATATAATCAAAGAAATACAAGATACTAAATTTAGCTAGGATGAATTAAGTTTTTAAAAGTATTTCACATTTCACACTAAAAAAAAAATACAAGGCAAACATCTTAGACACATTTTCTTAAATAATTCTTTTCCCTCACAATGAAATGTAAGGAGCAGAGCTCAACTTTTAATCCTGAATTAGTACAAGTAAGACACATGCTTACCGTGATCTTCTGAAGAGACTGGAGACCTAAAATGAGATAATAAGCATGATAAATCTTTTGTAAATGATACTGATAATTATAAGTACAACAATGATCAAGAAATTATAGAAATTATGCCCTCAAAATTCAGTTAAATAGAAATTCCACAGAGTAGATGGTATAATTAACGTGTTGGTTGCATAATATATATATATATTCCAATCAATAACTTCCATTAAGTTACTCCAATCAATAACTCCCAAAGATTACCTAGATTGGTGGAGGGGTAGTATTACTAGAATGTTTACTGTATAGTGTCATAGGACCGCACATACTTAGTTAAGTCTGGATTTATCATACACACAAAAAGAACTCATATAAAATGTGATAATAGATGAAATCCTGTGATATCAGAGAGCGCCCAAGCCCAGGCCTCCAGAAAAAATGCCAGAGATGTAAATATGCACTAGGCTGAGTATCTGTGGGCAAAAATTAATCTCTGACAGCAAAAATAGCAGGAATAAAAGAAATGGTAAGTACACTTATTATTGGATTTTGTTTCCACTCTTTGTGGAATTTAATGTTTGAATGAGAATTACATCGACTTTCTATTTCTGGCCGTATGTCTCTAACCTGTGAGAATCAGGATGAGAAGAGAGTAACCTTTGGAGTCCCACAAAACTTTTATAAATTAAAGACTTTGCATCCTATTTGGGGTTCAGCTCTAATTATGACTAATACCAATGAAGCATTATATCAACCTCTTTCACAGTAACCCCCTTTTTCCTTCCACAGCTGACTACTAATTGAGTTACTCTGAGCAATACAGACATAGCCTTATATATGAACGCCTCTCAAGCTTGAAAGGTACAATCTTGACTACTAACTCATTCTTTTCTGGGGAGAAAGAGAAACACTTAATACGGAATTCAGGGATGTTTGAATTTTGAAGGAAAAAGCTAGAAATTATAGTTCCTTTGGAGTCCCACAAAACTTTTATAAACTGAAGTCTTCTCCTTTAAACACTGTTAGAGCCCATAGCTGGGAGATGACCAAAGGTCAATGCAAGAGTTTGGTAATAAAGCTAACCATTAATATAACTAATATTAATGAGATGTGATGACAAGGTTAGGAAAAGAATGATTTACTGGATGCATACTGGTTGCAGGAAAATTTTAGCTACTTTGGGATGCTTGATACTGCTTTACTCTATCTACAGATCAGTAATATTTTTGTCCATTATGTGAGTAAACTGTATGGTATAAAGACACATTAGTGTCATCAGTGGAAAGTGTGTAATCATTTCGACCTACAGGTCTCTTCAAGTAAACATTTGCATGTGAAAATGACAGAAGGTCCCAAGACTTTGTAGGGAGAAAATCAGTATGTAGGACAAGGACACAGGGAACAGTAAGAAGGAACCTACTGTCATCCTAACTATCACTGCATCCCTCCCCCTCCACCTCCACCCCAGGTGGATCAGAGCTATCCTCTCTTTGGAGCTCCCCTGTTCCTTACTGTCCACACACTGGTCTTCCCCACAAGGCTGTGTGCTCCTTAAAAACTAGGACCAACTCTTATTTTAAACACAGGGGCCCCGATTAAAATCTGTTGAATTAATTTTAGCAACACCACACTAATGTTCAGACTCAAGACACACTCTGGGGCTCCATAAAAAGTCATCATGTCACCTTCAAATGCCCTTCAAGACAAGTCTGTCAGCTCCTATATCAGCTGTGAGGGAAGAGCCTAGGGAATGAGCATGAAGCTCCAGACTGGAGACAATGAAGTCACTCTCAGAGCCCAATGCCACCCAATGCACCTGGCAATGGAGATACCCACAGTCTGCTTAACAATTAGGGAAAAAATAAAGACGAGAGCATGTTGAATAAAGGTGAAATTGGACTGGAAGGTGACTCTAAACAAATCATATATTGAAATAGGATGAGATAATAATCTGTGCAGGACATAAAAAGGAGTCAGCCACAAGGAAACTTTTTCACTCCTGGTGTTTTCTGATGGGAAGTAAAGCAAAAATGTGTCTCCGATTGTTTGCAATTAATTTCTCACAGAACTATAGGAACAAAGAAAAACTCACGGAAATGAACGAAGCAATGTCTCAGATGGAGGAGTTGGGCAGCAGGCTTTTGCTGCCTTTCTGCAAAAGCAAAGACCTAATATTAAATCTGAAAAATTCCAGATGGCTGCGATAAAGTCCCATGGGGATACGCTCTGCAGTGCGTCCAGGCAGCGGGGGAGAAGCTATCGATTTCAGAGTGTTTTCTAAGGATTAGTCATGTTGAGTTTCTATGCTCAATGTCTCCCGCACGCCTGGATTTGTGGAATTTCAAGACATATGGAGTACTTCAATCCTCACTCAGTATTTCACCTTGCACTGTAACAAGTCACTAAGTTATACGACTGAGACACATACATCATACATTATGCCTGGAAATGGGCAAAAAATGTTTTACAGAATTTAGCTCAGGAGAAGAGAAATAATGTGAAGTCAGCAATCTAAGTAGTTATTTGTTAAAACAGGGGGGTTGAATCTCAGGAATAGACAATCTTCCTCCATCTGACAACTAAGGAATGCATAAAAGCTCACGACTTCTTCCTCCCACGGCACCTGGGAGATTTGTGTTTTTGTCCCAGGCTTTTGATTCCTCTTCCATATTCACTTTATCTTGGAGAGAGCATCAGCTAAACTATGATGAGCACTCAAATAACTCCAGAATTTAAAGTTCTCTTCCTCACATCTTTCTTGATCACCAGTCTTTTATTACAGTCTATAGAATATTTATATTTTATTTTGCATTTTTTGGTATTTCTTACACTTTTATTTACATTTCATATAAACTCAGCAAAGTAACACAACAAAAACAAAGACTCAAGCCCTGCATGTAAAATTGTTACTTCTATTTTATTAAACCTTAATAATTACTATTCAGCTTTAAATATTTCAATTTGTGTTGATTTAAACCTGAATAATAATTATTACTTGAGACCATATTAAGTTCCAGGCCCAGTGTCAAGTGATGGAGATATGAAGGGGAACAAGATATCAATTTCATGGAGCTGATAATCTAGTGGGGAAAAAATGTGAACAAATGATTACAATTAAGTGAAGAAATATAATGATCAAGACCTATATAAAGAGGCTTTGTAGAAGAGAGGGAGATCAATTTTGTCCCTAAAGAGGTAAAGGAGGCGTCAGAAAACAAGAGCCATCTGTGCTGGGCTTTGCAGGGTAAGTAGAAGCTTAGTAGGTAAGTAAGAAAGGAGAAGAATGCCAGGTAGAAGCAACAGACATCTGAAAAGGAGTGCAGATGTGAAATTTCATAATCTGGTATTCGATACACAAGTAATTCTGTGTTGTTAGAATGTAAAGAAGTAATTAAAGATAGGACTAGAGACATAAGAGGCAGGGCCATGTCATTCCAAACTAGTGGTTCCAAACAGAATGTACCCCATGCATATATGAATAATACACAAAAGGAACCAGCATATCTACAGAAAGGTGCCCTGAGAAAAAAAAAAAAAAGCAAGACAGGGATGAGCCAACAAACGCAGGCTGGGAACATACGAAAAAGGTGCGGCATAAAGCAGGTAAGAACTGTTAACAGATTTCCATGAAACTTAGAACTGGAGAAAGAAGGACGGGAGGAAGGAAGATTTAATGGAGGAAGAAATAAGGGATGCAAATGGACCCTTCTAGGAATAGAAACTTAAAGAAACGACAGCAGAGGGAAGGAACTAAGATTCACCCAGAGTCTTTGAATTAGTAATTTATAGAGAAAGTGTGAGGGCTTTTTCCTCTGTGTCACCACTGCACTGGGTAAAGAAGGTGAAGAGGAGATGAATGATAATTATTATATATTAAGAAATGATCCATTCATTTATTCATCCATTCAAGTTCTATGGAAATGGTTTTGCTTTTGTTCACTTTACTTTTCTATTAAATTTTGACTTGAAGATTTGCTGGTAAAAGTCTGCGTTGGAATATTATCCTGCTTGGTAGAACATTCATGCTTTTCTCTCCTTTTAACTGAAAGCAACACTTTTCAAACTAGGGTCCGTGTGGGAACTTGAACATGAAGGAAGCTCCAGGAAGACGACACTATTTTTAGATGATGAATTATATAATTTAGTTGGTAAAATTATAGTATTATTTTTATATTGAAACTGGCACAGCCATACTATGGATTCAAAAGCAAAAGTCACTTGAATTCTTAAAATAAAGCAAATAAACTTCAAAAATATCTGTGTTTAAAGCAGACAGCTTCAGGCAATGTCCCCATGGTCCCCAGAAGGGTGTTTGTTCTCTTCTGGAATAGGGATGTTTCCAAGGAAGTCTGAAAATATGACATGACCCACCTAAATGCATTAATAACATCTTGGAATGAATCATGTTTTGAGATTAATGTATGCAGATATCAATAAACTGAAGGAATGAAACATAGCGCATACATTGGCTAGTGGCCACTCTATTGGACAGAACTTGTCATCACTTAAGACACAAGGAATCTCTAAGAAACTCAAAGGTAGGTATTTAGATTGCCTTGCATCAGCACGTTTCCCTTCGAGTCTTCCAATCTGTCTAGTAGATCAATTATAAGGCTTAAGGACATTGAAAAATGTGCCCAGTTTTTACCAGCAAAGTAGTAATACAGAAGAGCAAAAGAGTGTGATATTTATGAAGACAAAAGAAGTACTGCACTCCTTGTGATGTTTTATTGCTTTTAATCAACAAGCCTGGAACTGAGATGATGGGCATAGTGACTATTTCAGTCTTTACGACAGGCTATAATGCTTTGCAATACATTTCAGGTGCATGCATTTCTTGGCAAGCTGGGTGGAATTCTCTAAACCTGCAAGCTTATCCTAACACAATATCTTAACACAATGTGTCTACTTTTTCAGCCTCTATAGTTTCTTTTGTTTTTATTTCTTGTCTTCAATAGCATCCATGTCTTTCCTACTTGGCCCTCCTTGGGACGTCTATATAATTTCTTTCTTTGGGGAGAGACAGGAGGTCAATAGACCA